CTCTGATCATTAAGGAAACATCTTCTCTGACAACAATGCAGCAGCCAGTATGTCCTCCTTCTAACTTTAGATTCTGCTCCTGAATGCTCTGGATTTGTTTGGACCAGAGAAGGTAGGCGCTTTTAAGACACGCCCCCACACGGCCCGTTTTGGACGCCCCTCAGTTTGTCAGATATGAGAGCAGTTATCAGGTCAACAGGTGTTGCAGCGATGGAAGCGGTCAAGAGAAGTGGTTCAGATAGAAGTGATTGTACCCGACCTAAAAAGCCTCTGCATGTTTCTAATAAGCTCCACGAGCAGAAACGTGCTCAAACTAGGATCAATATTGGAGATGCTTTTGAAAAATGGAGAGAGGTTAGAACACAGAAAGGTTTACAGACCCATGCAGAGCTGGATAAACACTGAAGCTTCAGAGTCCACCACATGGTGACCTGAGTGAGCATCCACTCTAGAGAGGAGGGGGGGGAGACAGCTCTCTATGATGTTTAGAATTTAGACTGCAGTACCCATTTTAAACACTAGGGGTCAGAGTTACATACTGCGCCTTTGAAATAACAGATTTTATCAATTTAAAAGAGACGTTATCAAAGATCTTTATCGAGGAAACTTTGTGAGCTACTCCGTGTGTCCACAAAGTAAATTACAGGGTCAAATTAGAGGCTGGATGTAGGACTTTTTAAAGTACAGAAATTCTGGGGGCGGGGCTTGCAGGGCTGAACTTGTCTGATTGGTTGTGCCTTAGCTGCTTTCAGACGGCTTTCAAACAGTGAACAATGCATTGCAGGAGCCTTTGAATCCCTGAATTTACCTGAACACACCTCTAACCCACAGAATGTATAAGAAGAGGGTGCGCCTCGCTCCTCTCCAGACCCGCCCTCTTTTATAAAACTTTCTTACCTTTTTGTATAATTAAGACAATTTGTGGAGATTTTCTGCAATTTTCTGTCACAAAAAAATACTCAATCATTGTTGCCTTGGATTTCTATTTCTGTTGACGTGGTATCAAACAGGTTTTGATATGGTTTGAGCTTTACATTTCCATGTTTTAAATCTGTTGGTAGGTAAAAGTGTGTTTGAGATATTTCAGCGGTGCCCTGTTGTCTATCTTTATATACAGGTAATGATCTGGCCTCAGGTATCCCCTGCACTGTCAACCTGTCGTGTCTTTGCTGCTACATGTCGCTGATATAAACCTGTGACAGGTCCGAGTGTCTCGAGTCTCTGCATGTCATCCTGGAGGATTCAGAGGACGCCACAGAGTCACGTGTTCCAGGGTCCTGTATCTACTTTCATACGTTCAAAGTTCAAAACTGGACGTGTGGTTTTGGTTAAACTTTATTGTCCATGCTCAGGATGACGGTGAACGCTCACAGACTGAAACGAACCTGAAAGAGTTCAAACATCAAACAAATGTTTCTGTCGTCGCTCCAAACTTCTTTTTTTTATAAATCGGGACAGGTCACCTGACAGGATGTGACATCATCAAACTGATCACATGACATCCACAAAGAAATCACTGGGGTTTCCCATGGCCAGGCAGAAGGACTGGCGGGTGGCGGCGAGGTCACGATGGCGACCTCGAGCTTGCAACGGAGCCAGGTCTTCAGAGTCCTTGTTACCATGGTGACCAGAGAAGGAGCTGGGAGGTTTCAGGTTGCTGTTGTTGCTAGACAGCAATTCAGTCAGCTGTTTGTCAGACGGAGCACCTGCTTCCTGTGTGGTAGGCTCTGATTGGCTGCCTAGTCCTCGGTCCTTCTGACCGTCACTACAGTCCGACCCACTGCTTCCTGTCAATCAAATCAAAACATTGTAAAGGTCAATAATGAATTCATGAATTTTATTCAATGATCCATGTTTTAATAGTTTTATAGATACTTCAGTCTGTTTGTATAAAACCTGATCACCATCAGCACCTCGCTCTCCTTCACTGTGCTGACTCCCCTCTCCTCCTCCTCCTCCTCCCCCCCAGGTGGTCAGCTGGGTGAGGGGGGGATGTGAGCTGTAGGGGTGAGGGACGGGGTATTGGTAGGGGAAGGCTGGAGGCTGCTGGGGGCCTGGAGGCGGGGCCAGCGGGTCACATTCTGAACCCCCTCCTCCTCCGCCATCGTCATCCAACAGAGACAGAACTCCCAGACCTGATAAATGAGAGACACACAACACAAACATCATTTAGAGCTCTGAGCTCTTCAAACTGTGAAACTGGACCAAAGTAACCTGGGTGATGTGATCACCTGAGCCCTGTGTGTTCAGATCAGTGGGTGTGGTCATGTGACTCACCTGCACACAGGTCTGTGAAAACATAGTAGCACTGCTCAGAGAAGGTCACCTTGTTGACCGTGTGGCGGATGTAGCCCGCCTTCAGCAAGTTCCCTGCGTACTTTCGAGCTTCTCGACGATCTGTGAAACCTTCAACGTTCCTGTGTAGCCAGTCAACCACGTCCGAACCTGGTGACAAGACACGCCCCTGTTAGCACCTGAGACAGACACTCGAGTCACAGGT